CGGGCTAGTTCATTGTCAATCTAGTTATATTCAATATGTATAATGATATTAATGTTTATTAACATCAAATAAATAAGAAATATAAACGAACGAGTCACATAAATAACTGTGCAAACCAAAATAAAATTTGTTACTTTATTACGTTTCATAAGTTGTATACACAAGGTAAATAACAATCAAAATCAATCGTTGCATACATTGTTTGACAAACAACTTTGAGTCTTGAGAGTGTAATAATGTCTCGATGGAGCCCGGGGGAAATTGCCTATAAAATAATTATAAAAGAAATTTAAAAAAAAAAAATTGTTAGAAGAAAATATAGGTGTCAAATCCGAAAATGGATAAGGATGAAGAATTGGTAAATGTGGGGCCAATATGATAATGTCTGCTATTGAGAGGTTGCTATTCATGTGTCATCATTTTTGGAGTAAACCTAATATATAATAAATTGCTCAAATGTGTGGGCCCTACCTATGTGATTTTTTAATGCATTTTATTTTACGGTTGGTAAGATGTTAGTTTTAGAAACTACAGTAAAATTCAGTATTCTCTCAGTTGCACTTGTCACACAATATCTTTTTAGTGTGATTTACTCTATATATATATATATATATATATATATATATATATATATAAAGTTTTTCGTGTCCGCAAAGAGTAAAGCCCAATTTATTGGGCCGTTCAGGATTTTTTATGAGAGTTAGGCTCATCACATTTCTAAATGTAAATTATACCGTAGACCAATATCCACCTTACATTAGACTCTAAGGGGGCGTTTGGTTCAGGTTATATAACATAACCAAGGGATTGTGACATTCCAAAGCTCACATTCCGGTGTTTGGTTCATATTATCTTAGGGAATCTGACATTCCCAAGGAATGTCATATTCCCTCCACATAGGATTTTGAAGGGAATGTGATTCCCTTCAAAATCTTAGGTAATGTAAGATAACCTTGGTTATCTTAAGGATATTATAGTGTGTATAAAAGATAACCCTAAACCAAACATGATTATATTGCATACCCCAATTTTAACCAAACACAGGAATCTAACATTCCAGTAATCTAATATTCCCAGCAATCTAACATTCCCTAAGGTAATCTGACATTCCGTGAACCAAACGACCCCTAAACGATATTCTTTTCAGATTAGCGCAACTTACCAAAAAAAAAAAAAAAAAAAAAAATCACTTCAGTTTAGTTAACACACCTTTACAGTAAATACATACTCCATAATTTGTTAACTATAATAAGTACATAAACTTAAATATGTATATAATTTGTTAATTATAAGTGTCAAGTGTTCTAATTATGTTATAAGTTCATAGTATATGAACTATTAAGCAAGCTTAAGATCGATTTTCATAAATTGAATATAGGTTAATTATTATGAAGTTAATAAATTGATGAGTTTATAAACGTATAGTTTTGCGTTTATATAATTTCTAAACTTGTATTAAAGTTACGAGTCGTATTCCTTGTTTATTAGTACAATTATGGGGTTATATTCAACCCGCATTTACATATATTTTTGAATTAATGTTTGACAGATAATCATCATTTATACTCCCTGAGGTGGCAGTCCAGAATTGGTTATTTTCATCATATGGGTCAACAGAAAAATGTCTACATCAAGAGCATGTGAGAGGGAGTATAAGTTAGGAGTTTAAAATGGGAGTACACCAAGTATTTTCCTAAAGACAATGATTTTACTATAAACCTATTTGGTAACTAGTTAACTTTATTGCTTAATTTTGACTTATTTTATTATTATAGTTATTTGACTTAGTTAAACAATCAATATGAATGTTTGATTAATTAAATTTTGTAACAACTTATTGTTCTAAAATGCTAAAATTCAAAAAGCTGCTCAAAGTAACTTTTTCGATCAGCTTTTAAAAAAAAATCATTTTGTATGTATTCAACTAACAACAAATTTACCAAACAATTTTCTACAATCATCTAGTCAAACTCACTAACCCAATCAGCTAACAATAATTTACCAAACACCTCCTATATAAAAATTTGAACGTCTAACATTAAAATGTCAAATCAAAAAATTTTAAGATGCCAATAAAATTGAATTATGTATCGTCAGCACTATAGTCGACACTATCCTAGTATAATTCGTTATACTTGTGTGGTTACATCATGTAAAACATAAAGTTCCCTATCTCATGTACTCATATAGTTGATTATATTAAATTTTAATACTATGTATACTCCTATTTTCTACTATCAGCTTTTTACTCACACAAAATCTTGATGTAGACATTTATATCAGAACCCACATGAAAAAAGTAATTTATCAGTGCCCACAACACCGGAATAAAAGATTTGAGAGTCCGTAGAATTCTTTTGATATTTGATAATTTGTTCACTGACTATAGGTCTAATCGTAACAATGCCAAATATTAAAAATAGCAAATTATGTAAATTAAACTCATTTAATTTTGTTAAATTTTCTTGGTAGAGTTTTACTACATGGACTCTAAATATCTACTCCCTCACTTTTACTCCCTGATATGATAAGTCATCTTCGTCCTAGTCCCAAGGAAAATTTCAACATCAAAATTTTAAATGAGTAAAACTTGAGAATCCAAGTAGTGTTTTTCTTTTTAGTAATCAACATTATAAAACTTTTCTCATATACTAAATGGGTTTAAGGAAGAATTAAAAAAAAAAAAAAAAAAAAAAATGAAATGCAGTCCCTACCCTAGAATGGACGGCCAAACAAAACATTAAAAGCCATCACAAAACACAAAACACAAAACCAGCAAGTAACAAAGTGATGCATCCAACCTCAACATTTAGATATGCCAAAACAAGAGAGTAAAGAAACCCACCTCTCATGGCTGGACTTCCACTCTCGTTCTCGAAAACTACGCTCCCATCTTCACCATGCATTCTGCTTCAGAGAACCTTATTGTATAAAACAAATGTAAGGTGCCTGTCTTCCTTGTTCCCCTAAGCCAGACAAAATCTCAATTCATGGGTGTTGACAAAGTAAAAATTAAGATATAACTTACCGGGACTGTTACGAGTTCTGTATATAAAGAGACCGAAGCGTTAGAGAGAGCTTCACCGTGTCCATTATGACCAGTATGGGAAAGAAGGGGCTGTCAGGTGTTGCACAAGATTTTGCTGCAGATGGCTCACCCTCGTTTGCAGACCTCGTATGTATCAAGAACCAGAATGCGGAGCTTCAAACTCAGCAGTTTCTTCCATTAGCTCTGACTAATAAGGCTACAGGGGTCCAGAATATGGAGCCAGCGTTTGAATTCCCATCAACAACAGATGACTCGATCAAGTCAACCCCAAACAGCAATGCACCAGCTAAAGTGGTCTTGTCACAATCTGTTCTGTCTAAAAGCTATCAACCTCAAGCGCATGAGGAAACCAGTTTAAAGGAGATACTGTCACCGGCTCAAAAGAATAGCAGAAGATCAAACACGAAAGAGTCTAATCTCAACAAAGGAACCACCCAACCATGCAATCAAGTCAAACGCATACCAAATAAGAAGCATGGTGCTTCAGGCCAATGGTTTGGTCAGAAAATTTTCCAGACATTTGCAAAACCATGCAGAACATGTCATGCAAGTGAACCAACTGCATCAGCAAAGGGACAGGTATCACATTGACGAAAGAAACTCAGAGGCTTAAGTTATCTCCAGTTTATCCGTAACATGGCATTGATCAAATCCATTAACTACAACACCAACAGGAAATGGCTCCAACCCAAGTTAGACAACATAAATACATTATTCAATGGTTCAGGACCTCATTTAGTCCCCTCTATGTTTTTACAATCCTGTATCAGTCTTCTTCCTCCTTTCAGCTATATAGTACTGCACTACTGCATATTGGCAATTGCAGTTGCAAAGAAAAAAATGTGGTATCTGTTAAGAACTTGTAATAAAATTTATGAAAAAAATAAGAAAGGAAGATGATGAGCTAAAAATAACTCCAGAGAATAACCAGCAGGGTGATTACTCAAGCTAGAAACTTTGAGCATCAATGTCAAAGAAACTTTTGCTAATAAATCTTCATTCAATACAGATATTTTCAAGGAATATTGAAAGTTATCAGGAATTTTCTGATGAAAATACGATAATATTACAACACATAAATCACTAAAGTCCTATTGATAAAATGGCAGCATAGTGTCGGCGTCATCATCATCAATATTATTATTATTATAGATATCAGTTCTGACACTCAATAAACCATAGATCTGAAGTCATTAATGAAAGTGATACCCATCCATGCATTTCCTGAATATAATTCTGCAAACAAATGAAATTTAATTCAAATTCTATCCACTCTCTTTGAGTAGCTTCTCTGATCATCTATCTACTTTTTGGTTTGTTACTCACAGTAACATGCTCGACAATACTCAGAACTTTATAGTGGGTACTTAACATTAATTTCTTGCTGCTATTAGCATGCAGTAGGGGGGTGGCGGTGGAATGGTATAGAAAGGAATGTGGTCTGGTTAGGAATCACAATTACAATAGAATGGGCATAACAAATGCGGGAAGGATATTGATACCAGAATCAAGACTCTTTCCCATCTTATACCTGCATTCTAAATGGAGCCTAAGAATTTAAAGCACGGAGCACTACTTTTAACTGTCGGATGCAATGTTCAACACAAAGACCTCAATAACAAAAACCATACAATATTTAACTTGGTATTGCAAAAAGGTTATTCATATTATTATCACAGGCCCAACAATATGATATATCCCCCGTGCTTTCCAAAGAACAGAATGCCTGATGAGGTTTGAGAAGAAGAGATAGAAAGTAAAGGAAAGGAAAAGAATGTATGAGGAGTGTTAAGAGTAAGACAGAGGAAGGAAAGAATGAAATATAACAGCCAAAGAGAAAAATAAAATAAAATAAATCAATACCACCTGTGTTTACTTTGAAGAGGGGAGAAACATTTAGATGCACATGTATGATGTATCCAGTTTGGCATCTCACCTTCACTCCCTATTATTGATATTAGCAAAGATAAACAGCTGCATGAAAGTCCACAGTGATTCCACTTTGTTGCCAAAGGAAGCAAATTAAGATGCTTTGCCCAAAAACCTTCAACCAAAATAAGACATGTTACCCAGAAACACTCAGCAAAAATCCAAGCAAGAATATCCTCAATAAAGATTTGAACTAAAATCTTGCTTAGAAATTTAATCTTCACTCCCGTTACTAAAGGTTCCTGGCATTATGTCTTAAAGTACACATCAAAAGGATAAAATTTCATAAAAGCTTTCTCTTACCAAACATTAGCAACGAAAAAGATCTATCATCCATATTGTCTAATAAGAACATTTATCACTCCTTTTCTGTGTAAAGTTGCCAACTATATTGTCAGAGAATAGTCAATCTGAAAGCATAAATAAACAATTCACTCCATTAGTTCAACCAGTGTACAAACTTAGGACTCGAGAAGAGACACCCTATTAGTGGATAAATAAACTTGATTGACTTTTTGTTCAAACTTAGACTTGTATAGTGTTTTGTTTTACTATGTACTAATGTCTGCCATCCTGTTGGTTCCATTTAATGGATTACATATCTTTAAAACGAAATGGTTCATCAATGCATGAAAGTGAAATCTCAAGGCCTGTGTACTAACTAGAGAATTTTCTAGTTTTCGGGAAAATTGGAGAAAAAAAAAAAACATGAACAGTTTCCATTTTGAAAACTGAAGAACACTTTTTCCTCGTTCCCCAAATAGAAAACAGAACTCCCACCACCTATCTATCTACTCCCACCACCACTTACCCACCCAGCATCCCAACCTTCACCCTTATCTATTTACATATCTATCTACTACTATGACTGCATTCATTACCATCTTCTTCTACTTATCGCCATATTCTATCTTTACTGTTCTCATCTTACTTATCATTGTTGTTGAATTATGGTCATACTTATCTTCTCACATATCTATCTGTCACTATGACTACAATCATTATCTACTAATTATTATTGATAGGGAATATACTCGGACATACGTATATACCGTTTACCGGATCGGTGTCCGGTTGGGTCGCCGGGAGGAATCATTCCCGACCGAGAACCACTCGGCCCGACCATATTGTGAAGTACCGACCGGGGCTTGGGTAGTAGTCCTATTGCCCAGATCCTGGATCCTTCCCAATCATCTTAGGTCGGGCGCGGTTTGGAAGGTTAAGCAGCAATTTCTCTAAGCTAGCGAAATGGAGGTAGAAAGCAAGAGTGTCAGGAACCTTTGGACACGTGGGGGAATCTGCAAGGCTTCCGGTCTGCCCCTCTGCATGAGCTACACGTGCCCCACATGCCGAGCTTCCGGCATGTATTCCCTTCAACCCTCCTATAAATACAACATTAAATGCTGGGGGGGGGGGGGGGGGGGGGCGGTGAACTTTTTTGGACAATTATATACAACCTTAATCAGCTCGGGACCCTCTGACCTCACGTCACCTCCCCGAGTTCATTAGCTTAAACCAACAAGCAGACTAAGGCAGGACAAAAACCCAGTCCGACCTCAATACTTGTACGTATCCGTGGGAATCACCGTATTTACCACATCAATTATCATCCTTATCTACTTGTATATCTATCTACTATTATAACTACATCCATTAGCATCTTTTCCTACTTATCACCATCTTCTATCTTCTCTATTCTCATCTTACTTATCATTGTTGTTGAATTATGGCCATGCTTCAGGAAGAGCTTGTAATTATTTGACCAAGTCAAAAAGCTAATATGTATGTGTAGAATTATTTTTGATTTGTTGTAATGTGTATATAACTATATATAAATTATACCCCTACCTATATATTCAATTTATTTTTATAAAATAAATAAATGCATAAAAATCCAAACCAATTATCAATAGTAATAATACCATTATATGAAATTTTACTATCCATGCAACTAATAACTTACTATTAATTTTGCCAAACACACACTTGTACAAAGTGCATACACGCAACTAACAATTAACACCCAATACAATTAGGTAACATTACAGTCAATCCCCAAACAAGACCTATATGTTCTATAACAACATACTTAAATTGTGTTAGGAGTATTATTATTCTATATACTTCGAATAGTTAGAGTATTCCTCCCTAAATTGAGATTAGGATGGTTGCCTAAACTCATGTTAGGAATCTTAGAAGTATTATGAATTTACTTTATCACTTCACTTTTCTAATAGTTTAGGAGTGGCTAAAATGTCATTCGGCGCAAATGAAACAAACAGGCAAAACATAAGGGCCAATTTGACAGTTTAGCCATTTAGGAATCATAGAGTTTGAAGAATTTCTAGTTCCCTATCATGTGCTCCCTAATCTACACAACACTGCTCATGCTTGCAAATCTTCATACAATTCAATATATTTTATTTAATTATATTGGAAAATAGATACACTGTAACACTCTTAGGTGTTGGTGTTAATTACCCCAATCCAACATACTCAGTACTTATGAATATGAGAGCAAGATAATATAAAACCAGATATTTACATGAAAACCTGAGAGGGAAAACCACACGTCTTTTTGGGCTAAGCCAAACTGAAATTCCACAATTATTGATATCATTGCACATGTACAAGTGGGCCATTTGAGGATTTACTAAATGTGTGAGCTAATAAAGCTCGGACACTATGCTATAGGCCTAGTGATAGCCAGTATGTGAGGAGAATATATGACTAATATGAGTGGTGGAGATCAGGAATTTAACCAAATCTAAGCTATTGTCTAAAGGCTAAGTGATTGGGTGACTAAACTGGTAAACATAACAATGTTTCTTTGCAAGCATACATGCTATGCCTATCTAACTATTTATGCATCACCGACTTATTGGTCAAGTAGGTAGCGCGCCAACCTCGAGTACTAAGCTATAGCTGTTGACCTAATAACCTGTGGTTGCTACGTGAGAAACTTACCAAGCTAGGTTTTTCAAGAACTAACAGACCAACCTCTTGAGCTCCATACCTTAATTGCCCAACCTATGGGCTTTCGAGGCATCCACCATCAGCTAATTCATCACTGCCTGATCATGTTGGGCCATCCAGAATGGGTTTCTACTATTCTTTTTTTATTTTTTTGGAAAGGGGTTTCTACTATTCTTGATTTATTAAATTGTGGCCTTCACTTCTTCGCTGGGATGGCTCTCTTAAGGCCTCTATCTATGCTCATCCTATAGTGAAATATGGGCCCTACCTTAACAAATAGTTAGAAGGGAAAACATTGCTTCACCACAATTCATTATTCAAGTCACTGTAAATCCAAGTTTTAGAAGAAATATTTCCTGTGAAAAGGAACCAACGTGACATAAAATACACTTTTGGTAAAGATGTATCAAACTGTAATGTAGAAAAGTTGAGAAATAATATTTTTGGTCCCTTAATTATGGGGATATAGCTATTTATCCCTTGGTTTAAATGGACAATGCAAATATTGGACTCAAGTTGTGACAGAAATGGTGACTTTGGTCCACCCCCTCCCCCCAATTGAGGCATTTGACACCATCTAATTTGTTGCCAAAATAGTAAATACACAACCATATTCCATTTCCCTCCCATATAGCAAAATGGGAAAATTGCACTTGTTCTCTCTCAATTATAGAGAAATAACCATTTGCATCCTAAAAGGTCATACAACACAAATATGGGACCCAAGTTATCCACAAAGAGGCCAATTCAAATCATGATTATGATGTATCATGTCTCTTTGTGTTTGCGTTTGTGCATGTATCCATACTTTGCAACTTAAGAATGGGGACTTGAGCTCAACCTATGTATGTCCTACAAAGTCTGACAGACGAGACCTATTATGAGTTTCTCCAACTTATGTAAAATTGATTTGTATACTAATTGGTTTGTTAATAACCCGAGCCTGAATCTTATAGTGATACTATTCTACATCTATCATCATGGATAGCTGACAATCAACAAAACCAGAGCTTTGTGTTATATCTTGTTCTACCAAAAGGCACTAGTTAGCATATTCTATCCTTGCAATGTTGTCAAATTGGCAAATTGCCACCATGGCAGAATCTGATTCCTCCATCTAATGGAGGTTGCAATGTGTTTTAGCTGTGGTAGGCCATGGCAAATTCTTTAAAAGAAGGGTTTGGACCCGATCACCGGACCCAAATTTGGGCTTTTTTTAAAAAACCTCTTAAGTCTTAACCCTAACCTCAAAACAACGACCTCTAGCGAGAACTCCAACAACCTCTAGTGCCAAGCCTCCAGCCACCACTCTATAAGTTTTTATTTTTCCCTCTCTTTTCTTTTCTACTAATTTTTCAGTTTTTCTATTTGTTAATTTTTTTCCTGATATTTTTTTCCGTTTTCTATTGACTAGACAAGACTGTATTGTACCTTCTATTTTTTTCTACTTCTTTTTCATTCTTTTAAGTTCCTTTAACGTTTATTTATTTGCTTTAACATTTATTAGTTTACTTTAATAGTCTCTTTAATGTTTTTTAATTTACTATAATAGTATAATTTTTATAATAATTATTAGTTTACTTTAACAGTTTCTTTAATGGTTATTAGTTTACCATATTAGATTGTTATGAAAAAACTACAATATCTAAGGTAGTAACTAGTAAGGTATAAAATATAGTAAGGAAAATTCAATTAAGGGTCCGTTTGGAAACCCAAAAAATGACTTCCGGAAGTCATTTTCCGGATTTTCCTATATTCATTATGGCCAACGAAAAAAATACCCAATTTGGCAGAAAAATATCTTCCTAGATTTTTAGTCAAAAGACATTTTCCGAATTTTTTATTTTCCCGTCTCTCTCATCTCTCCTCATGCTAGCTTGGATTATTACCACCACCACCATTATTATTATTATTTTATAACAAATAACTTTATAATATATTTATGTCCATTTTTAGGAAAATGAATGGTTAAGAGTCTAACATTGAAAATATAAGAGTGAAAATATGGGTTTATAAGACCATAGGTTAGACTAGCTAAATGATTGTATTCAGTCTTTTAGTGTAGCTTGATCCATGTGCATTAGAGCCCAGTTAAGTGACATTGGCCCAATGTTAGACTATATCATGGTATCAGAGCCAGTTTAGTCCACTTTGTGTTCACTCGGTTGTCTACCCGTGGTATTGGAGGCGTTCAAGCTTTCATTTTAGGGGGAGGGTCCAATCCCAAGTCCGTTTGTTGGTGTCCAAAGCTTTCGTTTCCGGGGAGGGTCCAATCCAATTTCAAGTGGTCAACCGGTTAAATTCAAAATGGCCCAGTTGTCCACTTGAGGGAGAGTGTTAAGAGTCCCACATTGAAAATATAAGAAAGAACCTATGGGTTTATAAGGCTATAGGTTAAACTAGCTAATTGATTGGATTCAATTTTTTAGTCTGGTTTCACTCATGTACATTATAGCCCAATTGAGTGATGTTGGTCCAATCTCAACCAAACACTAGAAAATTAAAACATTTTCCGAAAAATGAGTCATTTTCTTAAAATCATTTTCCGAAACACTTGGAAAATGGACCATTAGTGAAAAAACTAAGTATTTATTACAACTTACTAGTTTATAACTTTATTAGTTTATTATAATTAAACTCAAAAAAATTGTAAATAAGAGTTAAGATATACTCTTTTTATATTTTTTAGCATTTACTCCTTTACAAATTACAACCATGTCCGTTGAAGAAGAAATTACTTCAAGGGCCAGTAACAAAGCTAATCCTAGATGGAAGTATTGTCGTCCATTGGTGGGAGATACAAACACCATTAGGTGTAATTTTTGTCAAAAAATCATGATGGGAGGAATAACTAGAGCCGAAGAACACTTAATAGGGGAAGAAAGGCAATGTTAGTTAGAGAAGAACTTTGGACATATTTTAGAGGAAAACAACACAATGACATGGTGGATATTCCAAATGTGAGAAATGTTCATCTTGGGGTCTAGGATTTAATGAAAGTGATGATGAACTTGAATCCATAACTTCTAATAGTGCAAGTACTATGGGGAAAGGAATGCCACTAAAAAAGGGTTAATAGATTTATTTTGCAGAAAGCCTAAAACTGCAATTAAGTAAAGAAAGATGAGAAATTGCGGCAAACTAACATTAGAGGATCAGTAAACAAAGAAGTTGCAATCAAGGTCCATCAACTTATTGTTTTTTTGTACCAAGCTGGCCTATCATTCAACTTGGTTAAGTTGAAAAGCTTTTAAAATATGGTTGAAGCAATTGGTGCCTATGGTTGACATTTGCCGATTCTGTGTTACCGCCATGCTTCTGCCCTAGGCCGCAACACCATCCACCATATTTCTATGGCGGATTTTGGCTATTCATCATAAACCGCCATCCGCCATTAGTAACATTGTATCCCCATAACAAAAGTAACTCAAGGTACTCACGGAAGTATATTGCAAAAATACAAAACTATATTATGCAGAAAATATATAGTTAATTAATGTCTAAAAACAACTAAATTCACTAACAGCACTTTAGTCTTTATATGTATACACTTAGGCTCTAGAAATAACAAAATGCTCTTGAAAGGAAGAACACCAATACCAGTTGGCAGAACTCCTAGTATCCCATTGGGATAGCTCCAAACTACCTAGTATCTAGGTTGCACACTTGCAATGCATATCATGACCTGCCATACTTATCTACATAACCCTGCAATTGTAGTAAAACCAAATCCTGGTCAAAATAGTGCACTTAGTGTCTATAGTCATCTTTCTAACTACATAAATCTTTCAAATCCATAAAACTCACCAGAACAAGCTTCTCAAGTTTCGGCTGAGCAAATGAGAGGTATTCTTTTACTGAATCAGAATTATCAGGAATTTGTTCAGGCTGCATTGTGCTAAGAAAATTAGCTTTTGTTTTTTTAACTATCGCCTTGTAAGCATCACGACTCAAAAGACCCTCACGCCAAGTTGGTTTTAATAGTTCCTTGATAAATTCCACAACAGCAGACTCAAACTGTTTTAAAGCTCTAGAGTCCTGGTGAACTAATCCATCAACATCATTTCCACTTTTCACACTCTCTACTTTCAGTTCCATCTTATACTGTGCCCCATTCTTCTGCACGGTATCATTACTACAGTGTGTTTTATCAGCTTCAGTAGTATCTCCGAAATCAGCAGATTTCGGAAGCTGCTTTTCTTTCAAGGAAGTATAATAAATGTTCTCCTGATGAGCCCCTGCAGTATCCATCAGTTCTTTTTCTTTCTCTGACAGGTTTCGGGGAACAGCATCCTTGTGAGAACTGTGACTAGAAACTGAATGTTTATTAGAGCTCTGTTCAGGGCCAAGGTTTCCTGTTGCTACTGGATCAGCATTTTCACACACGTGTGTGCCAGAGGCAGATGCACCTTGACCAGAGAAAGGGAACTGTGAGGGCTTGTCTTGAGCAATTGTCTGCTCAATACTGTCTCGAATAGGATCATATCGACTTGCCTCAGACAGCATACGCTGAGTAATCAAGAATGATGGTTGAAATGGAACAGAAGGCTCCCAATTGTCAAAGGATAGGTTGGGCTTATACAGAGACGAATGATGTGTAGGTGCAGATAAATCAAGGTGAGAAATTAGTGTTGATTCAGAACCAGTGAACGGCGGAGACTTGTGTTTGAATGAAACAGATCCAGAAGCAGAAAGTTCTTTACCACCTTCTATAGGCTTCTGCAAGCCAAGGGGACTTGCATTCCAAGAAGCACTTGGATATAAAGGTACCCTCTCTACAGGGCAATTTGAAGGATGGTCATCATGAAGAAACTGGCTTCCTTTACTTCTTATTCCTTCTAAATGTGAGAAATAAGAGGAATATCCAACATTTCTACAATTTTCAGATGGCAAACCTCTACCAAAAGAGTTGTTCCCAAAAGTTTGAGAATAGTCTTTGAGCATTGATGATGAGTGGTTGTAGTTGGCCAAGTATGGTTTATGTTCAAGATATTCCCTCCCAATGTCCTTATCCTTTAAAGAGGTATCAGACACAGAAAGGTTTTTGTCTAGAGGCACTTCCTCAATCCCACTCTTCAACCTTAGTGTTGCTTCATGTTCAATCCTAGAAAGACCCAGGTCTGAATGCATGTTCTTTGCTGATATTTCAGTTGTATATTTCAAACCTACAAGGTACAAAGTACTAGTTAGAACTGCCCCTTGAAGACTCAACCTCAAGTATTATGAATACGAATTACCTTCCCCAGCAAGTATGCCCTTTAGCTTAGAAGCATCTACACTGCCCTCCTTGGAACTGTTAGCAGCATTATCCCTTACATGAAGGAACCTACAGGAACTTCCTTTGATGCACCAGCCTTTAGCAAAAAAATCACATATAATTGCGGGTCGTTTATTTTTATCATTGAATTCAGCACCGGGTGACAAACTTCTTGGCCTTAATTGAGGAACATCCGACCTAAACAACACCTAGATCCATAAGGATTTTTTCTAGAAATAATACAAAAACAAAATTCCATAACTCTTTGAACCAGTGGGGATAAAAGAAATTGAAAAACCTTGGTGATATCTCCATATCTTCTACAGCTTGTGCTGCTTCCTGATCTGCCATATCTTTGGAATATTGGACACCAATAATCCCATTGCTGGAAGGATCAACATCCAACATTGCAGCATTGATTTCACAACCAAAAGCCTTTTCAGGCATAACTCCACCCTCATGCAGAGAAATATTGACATCACCTCTGTGGGTTTTATTTCCTGCAAGGCGCCCAAAATTATCGACACATATCTTCATTTCTTATCGCGCTATAAATGGAACTAAGCATACACTAAGGCCTGAAGTAAAAAAGCCGAGGATTGAATACTTTTCTCCAAAAGCAACCAAATGGAACCCATATGGGATAATAACGGTTCTTACCATCAACCGTTGACTTCTTCCCTTCATTTGTATCATCTGGGCTAGCAGTTCCGTTATTGTTATCACTGTCCCTTACTACAGAGGCATCCAATGGTGGATGTGCTACCGATTCTTGGGGAGTAGCAGAATCTGACCCCAAAAGCTTTTCAAGCCTTGCAGGCTCCAGAACTTGTCTATTTTCTACAAAGGACAAATTAGAGAAGAAATGAGACACAAGCTAATGCATTCTCCAGACAATATTGGTAGCAAAAGGTGGTTGGATCCCTTGAGATAATTTGTCTAGATCTAGGGCTCCCCAACTATGAAAAACATCTGCCTAAACAAAGAACTATTAAGAGATATATGAGAGACTGAACATACAACCAAAAAGGTCATTCTAAGTCAAATGAATAAAATGAAACATCACTAGAAAATCCATCATAAATGTATATATTTTGAAAAGATTTAGGGCACGTTTAGTTTCTGGAAAAATTTTCTATTTTTCTGAAGAAAAAAAAAATGAAAACAGAAAATGTGTTTTTTAGTACCGTTTTCCATTTTTCATCTTTCCAATTCAACAAAGGATTTGGAAAACATTTTTTTCTTGTTTTCCAGATTTTTCCAAATACAAAAACACACATAACTTCATCTATAATTCCTATTAGTATTACCTACAAACTTTCACTTCACTTACCTATCTACTCATATCATCTACCCAACCACCTATCCATATACCTCTACAACCACCTACATACCCTATCACCACCCCTATCCACTTATCTTCCTATCACCACCATTATTCAAACTATCTACATATCCACTGCTATGACTACATATAATATTATCCTTTTTATACTCTACCTATGTTATTAGGATGAAAATAGTAGGTACTCATCTATTCAAATTTGAACAAAAATACATTTAGAACTACCTGGACATGAATGAAGCCCCATACCGATTTCAAAACTGTTTGACACTATCGATATAGTAATCAAAATCATTCTGAAATCCAAATGAATACACACACACAATCAGGTATTGGGTACAATTAATTCACTACTATTCAAACCCGTCCTATTAGGGTTTGGGAGGTCAAGTACCCGGTGTTATTTTACCTATTGTCATTTATGGGTATTATTCCTATAATCCGAATTAAAACTCAAAAAGTAGCACCCAAATTTTTGAATATTCAAAATACAATTTAGATATAACCGACCCGATCCAACGTACACACATGATCGCACTACTTCATATTATTGTCACCTATCACTAGCATTATTTGTAGGTTAAAATAAAGAAAAACAATTGAATTTCGAATAACTTCATATTTTCTCATTTGAAAAATAATATGGAAAAATAGATGTTAATAAACACGTTTTCTATTTTTCTAATGGAAAAAAAAATTGAGAAAACTGTGGAAAAATGAAATAGAAAAATGCACTAAACATATATTTCATATTATTGTTTTATGTAAAATTTTATTCGCATATAACTTCGTACACTATAAGTATTTATTTTACTCATTGAGAAACAATAATTCTTTTAATAGTGAAAGGTCTAATGTGCATGGTAGTTCAAATTAACATTTAGATAATTAGATTCTCTACCAATAAAATAATTTAGAATTAAAAATAATAATAATTATTTCTTGAATAAGTTTATGTTGAAATTGAGGGATTGAAGGCTTGGCAAAACCTAATATATGAAACTATAGAAATAATATATTGATTGTATTAATAATATATTAATAATATATTGCATATATTCTAACAGAGATACACATGCTTATACAGAAATATTATGGGCTAACCCCAAGATTACACCTAGAGCTATGCTAGGGTTTCTATATTTCAACACTTCGCTTCAAGTTGGAACATCTAAAAGCTCCAAACTTCAATTAAGACAAACACTCCACCTTGCTCATAACAATTAGGAAGATAGGCCTATTAATTAGACGCAATTAAAGGATAACCATACCGGATATTAACAGTTTCGTAACACAAAGCAATATACGACCTTCGAGACTAAGATAAAAATTCCTAGGGATGGGGCTGCATATGAATAGTCTCAATAGAGCAAGGCAACCAAATTAAAAATTAAAAATTAAATATAATATAAAATAAAAAGCAGTTTTTTCTCCATCAAGAGCAAAAGAGGTGAAGAATGGAGCAACAAGAATTTGTTTGGCCCATGGTCACCGTCAAAAGACTTGCCTACCATAGTTGCCAATCAACATTATTTAAACTCATAGTTAATGAATGTATAACATTCATACCACTAAACAAGGATGACAATTATACCCATGCCCTAGGGATAGCACCTATTTTTAACCATATGGGTATAGGTATTTGCATAAAGATGATGGGAAAATAGCCCAATCCATTGGACTTAGGTCATTAGGGACACCATAACATGACTAGCCCAAGATGGTCCAGGTCACACCCCAGAGGTCCATAGGTCGAGTCATCAAAACATGGAACTCAACAAGCCAACAAACCAAACATCAATTCATCGAAGGATCTAGCTTAGTGAATCAAAGCTTAGACCCTGAGAGTTAGGCTTGTGAAGTTTACCGCCGAGGTCAGCTTCTACCAACCAGGAGGTCTACCACCCATGAGGTCTTCTGCGCAAGAGATCTAATTCAAGGAGTTGAAACCACCGAGGTGTACCACCCAAGGAACTTAGCTAGTTAAGGAGATTGGCCTCAGCAGCTTAGTCGGTAATAAGCTAGCACTATCATAATAGGCGTATCATCTAGAGCTCCAAAGCTAGCCGAGTAGCGGTTGAGCCTATCTAATTAGTCGGCCAATCCAACCAATAATCTCCCACCATGTCAACATGTCAGAGAAAGGAGTCGGACACCTCGCTTCAAATATAAATAAAGGGTCCCAGGCCTTCAAAAGGGACTTTGGCCTCCACATGGTAGATTGGAAAAAGATCAACCTCCGTTACATTGGCTTTCCACTTATATCTCAAATCTCGCATCTTTGTACATGTACAATGATGCATTCATAAGAAAGTATTACCATCGCAAGGAAACAAATCAGAACAAATCAAGAGGATTGATCACAAATAAGGATTTATTCCAAGCATCCTTGATTGAAGATTTTATTTCCTTTTAGTTGTTTATTTTATTTTCTTGGAGTTGTGGCAATTTCTATTTGTTTCCTTTTATGAAAGTTGCATGCTTGTAACAATTAAAGCGTGTGCTCCATCTCAACTAAAAGTCTAAGCCAATAGTTGGATTACGCATTTATGTTTATATATTATATATGCTCAACACGTCCCCTCACGTGTGCGGGCCGATTACTTTTTGATGGGCTCTAAGCAACACGTGAACCGTAGTCTCTTTTTTTTATCGGGTGACCCGGAGATTCGAACCCATGACCTTTGGCACGGGGTTGGCTCTGATACCAAATTAAAACATGTGCTCCATCTCAACTAAAACCTAAGTTGATAGTTGGATTGCACATTTATGTTTATATATTATATATATGCTCAACAGTAACCTTGGGTCTAATAAAGGGAATTATGAAAGTTAATAAAACAAATAAAAAGTTAGGTCAAACAAAGAGATGGAAAGCTCTCTAAACATTTCCGAATATTTTGTTATCCATTAGAGCAAGCCCAACACTGTGGAATTTTGCTCAGGTTTTTTCATATCCAACAAGGAGAAAGAGAGGAAAGAGAGTGAAGGGGAAAAAGGAAGAAGAAGAAAAAATAATAAAAAAGAGTAGTCAAGGTGGCTGCCAATCGGTGGCCACCCTGACGCACCCGTTGGGCGCTACTGGTGTCTGCCAGCTAGGTCTTTTTTTTTTTTAATATCGCGTGGGCCCCACGAAAAACCCCATCTTCTGCATGCATCCTCTCCCTCTCCCTCCTACCTTCTCTCTTTCCCACTAAGCAAAAAACGCTGCCAAAAACCCAACAAATATGAATATTGGGGTTGCTCTTACATTCAGCTATGTGTCTTCCTTTCCTTGTTCACTCAATTCACTTGTCAACGTAGCCAGCCCGCTAACGACCTCTAGTAGTGTTAATCGTAGGTGACACGTGTTTACTCATGATCATAACATAAAACTACACAAATAATAGTGGAATTCTGGTTTGATTTAGCCCAAAAAGGCAAATGATTTTTCCCTTTCAAGTTTCCATGTTAAATATTGTGTCCAAGCTACTTTATTTTCCTATATTTTATCTTCTATATAAGTTGGCCAAAGTTAATTTACACCAACAAGGATGATTGGGGAATTTTTGAAGTATTTTTCCTCAAATAAGAATGGGTGCAAGAAGCATATCTCTATCCCTACATAAATATTATGGAGTATTATTAAAAAGAGTTAATACCCAAAATGGTCCCTCGACTATGCCATAATTACCAATTTGGTCCTCAACTATCATTCTTACCCAATTAAGTCTTCAACTATGTAACTTTTACTCAATTAAGTCCTCAACTATACAATTCTTACCCAATTTAGTCATCAACTATACAATTCTTACCCAATTTAGTCCTCTGCATTAATTTGACTGTTTGTTGACTGTCAAAAGTCGGGATAAAATTATAATTTTACAAGATTTCTCCTTCCTTTCCATTTAGAGGCGCCAAACCATGCAGCAATACACTCCGATCAGATTTCGGTCGTCAAAAAATCGTTGGAAATCAAATTCATGGGCTATCCGATGCATAACCACTACTTCGATACTGACAGGTTTAGAACCCAACCGGAGCTTATTGCTACATGGTTTGGCGCTGCTAAATGGGGAGGAAGGAGAAAACTTGTAAAATTACAACTTTATTTCCACTTTTGACAGTCAACAAACAGTCAAATTGACAAAGGACTAAATTAGGTAAAAATTGTATAGTTGAGGACTTAATTGGGTAAGAATGATAGTCGAGGACCAAATTGGTAATTACGACATAGTCGAGGGACTATTTTGGGTATTAACTCTATTAAAAAATATTCATTTATATACTATAAAAAAATATTAGATACGGAGTATTAGATAATTGAATCAATTAGTATATTATATATAACATAATATTGGTAAAATAACTTATCAAATAAAAATCTAGAAACCCGGTGGTTATCTAACACTACATTTTTTGGAGCAAGTTCTAACTCTTCAAACAATCGCACGCTACTCTCTTTTCAATCTTTAGTTCTTCAAGTGTCATTTTCCCTTAACAGGGTATTTTAATAAAATATCACATTGAAATGGGTACCAATGAGATTACCAGAAAATTTTCCCTTTTTTGGGCAAAGCGTAAACAATGAAATTATCAAAACTTAACAAAAAAATGCTGAGGAAATATACCATGTTATCAATAAAAACAGGACTTAAAGTATTTAAGGCTATTAAATATTAATAAACAGACACACCTTTTTCATGACCTTCTTTGTTGCATTGACTTAATCCTTCAGCAATTTCAGCAGCTGCTGTTTCTTCCACTTCTACGTTGCCTTATGTAAATGGACAAATATGAGATTACTTCAACTACATTTTCAATAATAAGTATACACTCAAATAAGACATTTCGAAAATCTCGCAATTCGAAACAGCGAGAACAGTCATAACTTCAGCCAAAGAAATATAATAGGTTATTAATAAACCAGCTAGAGCAATAAAATTTACTCGTGAAAAAAAACAAACCTTCTGCATGATCTTCTTCATTGAGTTTAGTTAATTCCTCAGCATTATCAGCTCCCTCTTTTCTCGCGACTTCTTCCTCCAAGTCTTGTTTTTTATGATCATGTTCATTGAACAATTTGGCTGCTGCTTCTGCAATTCCTGCTTCAGCAGTGCCTTCACATAAATGGGCAAATTAGGCTTATTTCAACTACACTTGAAACACCAATTTATGCACTCAAATAAGAGAGTAAATAAAACACCCACATTCAAAACAATGATATAATCAGAACATAGAAACAAATACTGGGGAGATACACATTCTCAGTAAAGGATCAATATTTATTGATAAATAAGACAAACCCTTTCCGCTATCTTCTCCATTGGATGGGGCTAATTCTTGGTCACTATCTGCTCCCGCTTCTTCTACATCTTCCTTTTCCCCCTCCTCCTCTTCTTCTTCTACTTCTTCCACTTCTTCTTCCTCTTCAACCTCAATTTCTTCCTCTATTTCTTCTTCTATCTCCTCGTACTCGTACTCGTACTCCTCATCCTCCATCTCCTGTTCGGACTTGGAGGCAGGGTCCACGGTGTTGTGTGGTGGATCAACCGCCGCCGCAGCGGAGGACATCGCATGCAGCGGTGGCGTAGCTCCGATGAAGAGGTGATGTGGAGTTGATTAGGGTTAGGGTTCCGTATACCGTAACACAGACCTCACCGTCTGAAAAGTGACATGCATTTGACGGCGACGAAAAACCAGTAAACCGCCGACAACAATGGCTGAAACGCTAGAGAATACAGAACTATAATCCCCCTCTGGATTCTGATTTGGGGATCACAATTTCATTCTTGTATGGATTGATTCTGAGTTGAATTCCTCAGCTATAACACTTATATATTTTTATATTATAAATATATAAAGGGAATATAATTAAAAAAAATAGACTATACAATTTTTTTTTTTTTGTGTGTACTACCGATTATAATAATATATTATAAGCACAAAGAGTCATATAATTGAAGCACAAAAAATTAATAACTCATTATATTTAGAAAAGTCAGAGTCATGTCGCTCAACTATAAAACTTTTAGCAGACTATACAAAATATAGTCGTTTTAAATTAATATTATAGATTATAGATGTATCATCTTAGGATCTTCGATGATCGTACAACTATAATTCTCATCATCCACGTGTAATGTCATCTCTATTTGAAAATTATTTGGTAATACTTCTCATCTAATATAAAACTGAAATGAAGTATTTTTAATATTTGACGATCAAATAGTTAATTTTTAGCTCACACCAAAAAAATAATACAATAATTAATAAATTAAAATGGAAATTTATTTATATCTATCTACTATCTACTATACTAATAAGAGCCCAAGAGAATTAGGCATATAATGGGTAGAAAAAATGACGGTCACATTTTTTTATCTGGCTCAGATTAATCAGATTTTAATTTTTTCTTAAAATTTCTAATTTATCTTTAATGAATATGATTATCCGTTAAATATTATCTTTTCCATTAATTTCTGTTAGTTCACCGTTAACTTACTCATTGATTTCAATAAAAATGGTCTTAGGTTCAAACCTCATCCCAATCAAAGTTGTCATAATTAATACTCTATTTTACTCTTATTAAATTAAATAATAATTTAGTAGCTACAACAAAAAATAACACATATACATTTCTTTAATTTAGAATTATGTGTCTATGATGTCTTTATTCAAAAAAAAACTATTCATTATCAATAAATTAAATAAAAGAAATAATTTCATTAATTATATTGTCTTTATTTTCTCTAGGAAAAATGGTCAAATAAGCCCCTGAACATTATATAAGGAGGCAATTAGGCCCCTGAACTTTTAAAAGTAGCAATTAAACACATCAACTTTTTATTTTTGTGCAATTAGACCCAAAAGTTGGATATTTACCTGTAATTGAAGGTAACCTCTTATGTGGCGTCATATGTGTCATTTTTATTAATACAATAATATTTAATTAAAAAAAATTAAAAAAATAACTTACCCGTGAAAGGCAGCCATGGCTGCCTTCCTCTTCCTTCTTCGTCGAAGAAGGGTCCTCTTTCTCTTTTTCGCCTCCAGATATGGAGACGAAGAAGGAAATGATTGTTATTTAAGAAAAAAAAAAAAAAAAAAAAGTTGAAACTTGAAGGGACGGCCATAGCTGCCTTATTCTTTGTTCCTTCTTCGTCTCCAAATCTGGAGATGAAGAAGGGTCCTCTTTCCTTTCTTCATCTCCAGATCTGGAGACGAAGAAGGGAAAGATTTAATAAATTTAAAAAAAAATAATAATAATAACGAGAGGTTGACAGCCATGGCTGTCTTGTTCTTCTCTCCTTCGTCTCCGAGACGAAGAAGGGAAGATATTAAAAGAGAGAGAGAGAGAGAGAGATAGAAGAGAAGAGGTTGAAGGCTGCCTTGGTTCTTCTCTGGACGCCGGACGGCCGGGCGGCGGCGGCGAACATTTCTGGGGCCGACTACCGGAAATGTTTATTTATTTATTTATTTATTTATTATTATTATTATTATTATTATTATTATTATTATTATTATTATAGATTACTTATTTTGATTTTTAATTTTTATAAATGTTTTTTTAATGTTTGCATACGTGGCAAGCTCAGATGATGCCACATAAGAGGTTACTTGTAATTGGAGGTAAATATTCAGTTTTTGGGTCTAATTGCACAAAAGTCAAAAGTTGATGTGTTTAATTACATCTTTTAAAAGTTTAGGGACTTAATTGCCTCCTTGTATAATGTTCAGGGGCTTATTTGATCCTTTTCTATTTTCTCTAATATAAAAATTCTTTACATTCAAATTCATCAATTGATTATATTCGCTACATTATCCCTATAATGTCTTTATTAAAAAAAAATATTCAATATCAATAAATAAATTAGTTAAGAGAAACAATTTTATTAGTTATATCGTCTTTATATTTCTCCAATGTAAACATTCTTTACATTCAAATTCATCTGTTGCTTATATTCACTACATTGTCTATTTTTTTTTTTTGTGCACTATTTTTTAATTAAATATCAAAGTTATAATACAAAATAATGCTATATATTTATTTACCAAGTATTTTATTAATACCTTGAAAAAATAAAAATAAAAAATAAAACTAATAAAGCCAACATATTAACTACTTGAAGGATTTGTTGACAAAGAGAGTATTCAAATCACACAACAAATTGAAGTGAGAACTACCTCGCAATGTCCTTGTTTGACAATCAGCAGCTAGCAGTTAGCGTTAGCGGATTTGACCAGCGAATTATAGCAACGGTTGGTAAAAAGATATTTAAAAAAATTAACTGTTTAGATTAACATGTAAAATGACCTAAGGGTATAATAATAATAATAATAATAATAATAATAATAATAATAATAACAACAACAACAACAACAACAACAACAACAACAATAACAATAACAATAACAATAACAATAATAATTGTTTTTTAAAAAATAAAAACAACATATAAAAATATAATTAAGTCAATTATATTAACTACTTGGGGTCAGAGTTTTATTGATAAAAAGAGTATTCAAATCACACAACAAATTGAAGTGAAAAACTATCTCGCAATGTCCTTGTTTGACAATCAGCAATTAACTCTTCAATATTAGTATATATTTAATATTTTATGCCCTAATTTTTATTTGCTCTCCCTTATGTCCCGTATTTGGTTTCAACCATACCTATATAATTATTTTATTAACAATTATAATCAATCTTGAATATATTATCTTGCATTTGTAAATTTAGAATTACCTATTTAAATACACAAATTTAACATTCAATTATCTATGCATGAACAATTCTAATATAATATTGCCTTGATATACTTTAAAGTACTTATTAAAAAAAAAAAAAAAAAAAAAAAAAAAAAAACAACAACAGCAACATTGGGCATTATCCCAATCACACAATGAGCGTAAAAAAACTAGTAATTTATATAATTATGGTTAATCATTTATCATATTCGTCAAACATTATTTATATTTCTAATTAAAAAACACACACACACACACAAAATCTTTTACTATAGTGTCGAAGAGTTTGAGATTTTTTTTTTTAAAAAATATCAATTAGAGTTGTGGACGGAAATATAATAATTGGTTCATGCATATTTGGAATAATTAGTCGTTAATTCTATGAGAGAGGAATAATGTGGGAATTTAGTGGAAATTTAAATTCTAGTGTTTGGTTTGTAGGGTAAGAATTACAGAGAATTTCAAAATTAAGATTTAGATAGAAAATTTAACTGAAAATTAGTTTTTGTGTTTGCAATTCATTACCTAATCCAATTGAATGATAATTTCTACGTGTTGGCTATTCAATTCCTATCAGTTTGCATATTCAATATTTGATAATACGAACTACTTTATGATTCCTAAACTCCGTAATGAAAAATGGGAACATAATCACTCTCTAGATAGGATAATATATGATAAGATGGGTTGTGACCTAGAAGACTTCACCATTACCACTGTGGGAAGCCGCCAACAGCAGTACAAAGAACAACTCCTTGTTTTACCGGTTCTACTACCCACTTTCAAAAAATTAGTTCATCTCCTAAAAATAAAAATAGTTGTCTTAGCTAGACCTTCTAGTAGCAACTATTCTCGCACTCTGGAGGTAAACAACTAGACTTAACTTTTTCTAGTAGCAACTATTCTTCTCAATTGTCCCAACAACGGTATGAGTTTCGCTCCGCAGCGTTATTACATGTGTCTTCATAACTCGAAGTTTTTCATACGTGAACTCCAAGCAACATGTGGATCTTAGTCTTTAATTTTATTTTTCAGGCGATGCAGACAAGGTTTTAAAAGGCAGAGGCGTACCTTGATGCGTTTTCTATTTTGAGGCGATGCGTAAGCCTCAATTTTTAGCCTCAGAATATATTAGTAAGTTGTAAGCCTGTAAACATTATTCATAAAATTTACCAAAATATAAGATTAAAATTCATTAGCTAAAAGTCTCAAAGAAACACACCACAAAACATTAAACATAATATAAGTCTAAAGCAAACAAATGCATAACAATCTAAGATTAAAGTACTAAACAAACAATCAAACATTCAAACAAACAGTCAAACACATCATAAATCACAATGTAAATTCATCTAGAGAATCATTGTCTATATCCTCATCATTTTCATTGTCACTATCATCATCAAAATCCTCCCAATTTTCTTCAACTTCATTGATTAGTCTCATTTTTCCTTTTCCCTTATTTGATCCTTGTGCACTAGCTTTCTTGGAGTTCTTGCTTGAGGATTTAATTGGCTGAGCTTGAGTTGCTTGTGATGGCCCCTCGCCCTCAAAAACATCAACACCAATGTCATCCGAACTTATGTTGGGAGCATATTCATCATTTTCACCCACAAGTCATTCGTCATCCAATGGTAACTCATCAATCAACAAATTATCCTCATCATTTCCCAATGACTTCAACTTCAAAAGCATATCCTTCAATTTTTTGTTGTACAAGATGTAAACCAAAGCATTCATCCTTGCTGTGGTCAAACAGTTTCTTCTTTTGGTGTGCACTTGATTAAATGCACTCCAATTGCGCTCACATCCAGAAGAAGAACAAGTGAGACCTAACACTTTAACGACAAACTTTTGAAGCTCGGGAGTACCATCTCAATATTGAGTCCACCATTCAACTAAAAGAATCCTTTATATAATAAAGCTTTATGGTTTGGGAAATAATTAATGCTACAATTAATGCCACAACATCTTTTATTATAAAAAAAAAAACACACAACATTTAAAAAATAAAATAGCTATATATTATATAATCATATAAAAATATACTTTTGAAAAATAAAATAGCTATATATTA